ATTCATACTTTATCTCATTTAAAAATAAATGAAGAAGACAATTTATATTCCAAATACAAATTGCACATACTTGGATTATTGCGTGATTGAACACGTGATGATCAAACAATATGTTGTGAACACTACACTCTTCTAAATTAAGTAATAGACACCGATTGCTGAACGATGAATTATTTTAACTTCAAAAACTGTTTTCCGTTTCGGAAAACAATTTATGACTTCAGCAGTAATCGGTAATATTTGTCATTTTGTGTGTGCATAACTTATACGTAATCTAACAATAAATCCATCGACAACGTGAACGTACTTCTTGTTGTCCAGTCATCGCGATATTTCATTCCTTATGTGCATTTTCATAAGATTATTCTGCATTATTCTAAGAAAAAACAAACTTCGTTTGAATTAAGCGGTAACAATAAAATAGTGTTTCTATCTCGAACTAAAAATTTTCGTATCTACGCAGTTAGAAATTTTATCTTTCCAGAAATAAACATTCTAGATTATCGTAATATTGTGATTAGAGAAGTGGAAATTTTCGAAGTAATATATCCCACATGCAAAAGAGAGAGAATGTTTATTAAAAAAAATATATGTATAATAATCATACAATGTTAAGAATACAATTAATATACAGAATCAAATGTTTTTATTTTATCATTATCACAGTAAACATAACAGATCATTGCTATAGGTCAGTTATAAAAAAAAATACACGTAGAAAGACGATATTGATATTTTTTAATATAATTATTTCAATTGTATAAAACAGCATTTTATTTTAATTGAAGAAAATAGATCATTGCGGTGTTATTAAAAATTAAAAATTTCGTCAACATAACTTAAGTACGACAAACTACGCGTATCATTTTTGTTCAAATACGAAAATCGCATGGCATTCGTCATGTCTACACAGATCAAAATTATCCGAGTGCTCGAATACAGTTAGAGAGATTTAATAAAAAGATTATCGATATATAATATCATAACACGAAATAGGCTATAGATAGCTAATATCTCCAGAAGTCTAACACTTTCAATTGAAGAGCGTAGCGCATCACTCTTTGATCTCACTTCTTACGTTTGCCTTCAATTTGCAGCTTCAAATGCAAACACTCGCAATTGAAAAAATTATTGAACTCCACCATTTTTGCGGTCTTCGCACTGCTTCGTAACCTAATTTAAAATCATAATTTAAAAACTATTGTTCATCCATTCTTAATAATAATATCACAGGTTTGTGTACTTACGTTGCAAAATCTCGCTATTTCTTCGTTTTTGCACACGAAATCTTCGCCCCATGTACATTTTCTAGACTGGGTAATTGATCGTGATACACGTGAATTTATAAGTGACATTGCAAGATAGTCACTGGAAGAGCATAAAGCCATTTTGCTGCACATTTGTTCGCTATTAATATTATCTTTCAGCATATTTATTATGCTGGGCCCGTAAATGTTCACCATCTTGTTGCACTGTATAAATTTAAATTTAAATTTTAGTTTCAAACTATATTGGTTTTTGTAAAAAAAAAAAAAAAAGAAATCGTCAAGTAATAAGATATTACCATATCTTGATTATCTGCTGGTAGATACTTGCACACCTTCTTAACAATTTCTTCAATTTCAGCATCCACTTTTGAATCACCTAATAGCTTATCAATTTGCGATATAATTGCTCGACATAAGGCACATTCAGTTATAGATTCTGTAATAATAAATAATTAAATTACGTACATACATTTTCATATAATATTGGCAAAATTTGTAACTTATAATTATTATTTCTGTACCTTGAATTTTTATCATGCTCATGGTACAAAGACCTAACACAGTACAGGCTTCTTTAGGACTGACATC